ATTGTATTATCGCAGATCAAACGTTGTACTTATATAGTTACTAGCTTGTGTTTTTCTAAGCATATGCATAATATTTTTAAACAAAAATATAAAATATAAGTATGCCTATTGATTAAATACTAGTATTTATGACGCATATGCGAAAGACGATTTTGAGTTGAGTTTTTTTATACATATTTTGAAAGGCCTTAATATTTATGATTTTCATCAAAATTTGATACTAAAATTCTTATAAAAAAATGTCTAAATTACAACAAATTTGTTTATTGTTTTGATCACAAAGTGCAGCTTATAATGAACCTCCTATTCAATTTTCAAGCATGTCTGCTTTATACACAGAGAAAAAACTTGCAAAATTAAAATATAACTTATAAATAAAATTATAAATAGCCCAAAATTAGCTTAAATGTTTTAAACATTTTACCATGTTTAGAAAATTAAAATATAACTCTTTAGTCAAAATTTAAAGGCTCTACAAATATTTTTAACTGAATCAAAATAATAAACAAAATTGAAAATGATATATTTTGTAAATTTTCCCGTTTTTCCTGGGTTTTTACCATTTATTATGAGAACACATGACAAAATGACTTTCTAAAAGTATCACCCAGATAAAATTTCCCGATCAGAACATTACACACGATATACTTGAAATTCGGAGCAAAATTTTTGCTAGAAAAATTATTCATGTATTAAAAAAAAATAAATAAATAAACGTCATTGTAAAGCAATACATTCCTCGCTTTGCTCAGAAAAAATGGAAAAATTACCTAATAAATTTAAAACGTCAAATAATGTAATGTAGAGTTTCACAATTGAATTCGTTGGTACATGATTCAAATTTTATATTAAAAAGCTACTTTTTCAGTAAGTTAAAACAAATTAATTTACCTACAATTCACAGTTCTTTTATTTGTAACTTCAACTATATAGTTTTTAAAGATGAAACGATTAATATTGTATATTAACTGCTAAAATGTATATCATTAGATAAAACTATGTATATAAAACAATTTAATTTCGAACAAATTTGCTTAACTTGATAAAGTTCACCAGTTATTTTTTATTTTAACTCGTATGTTTACAAATTCAATATATTTAAAAAAAATAATAATGTCAAAGAGTGTATATGCAAATTGCTATATTACAAAAAAGATTTGTACAAATTTCTTATCAAAACGTAAAATCGCATTCTTTGGATTAGATTAGATTTGCTTAGATGTATGTCTGTTTACCAATTTTACATTTATATTTTTTTTATCGTACGGATATCGGTTCTGCTAACGGATCTAACAGAGATGAACATACGACGTGCGGGTGTTGTATAGTAGATAATTAGTGAAAATGTATTAAGGGCTGATGGCTCTGAGTTTGACAAGGCGAATCATTATTTTCTCGTGCTAAACATTACACTCGTACATACATATATACGCGAGACAAAATGTGGTTCCGTATTGTCAGTTTACCCATATCATGCCTGTGATGGTGTGACGGTTAAGGAATGAAAACTGAGAGAAATTACATCTACTGTGTGTGTGTGTGTGTGTGTGTGTGTGAGAGAGAGAGAGAGAGAGAGACACACACACACACACAGAGAAAGAGGAAGGTAGACAGTCGGTATATATTATATCGTTTTTGGCAAATCCGCACAGGTCGTATAATAATAATATATATAATATGTACTAATTCGTGTATAAATCATTTTGACGATAACTATTACATTTGTTTCGCGTATCGTGTGTGTGCGGGCAATCACAGTTAATTCGACGAACGATTATAATTACCATCTACAGCAGGTATCGTTGGTGAATTTAAATTGTATTTTGTGGAATGTAACGACGGATAAATGCGTAACTATATACGTAACCTACCCAATGTCAAATTTGAGGAGGATTGTCACTATTTGTAACATTAACCTCTCATTTCTCTTAAATTTAAAAAAAAATATTACTCGAACTATGTAGGTGTTCAAGGCCATAACTGTGGGAAGGGTTATCCAATAGTATACGTTTGAATGTAAAAAAATATAAGTGTAGTATAGTATATTAAACAAATTTCGAACCCTCCCCCAAAATATGTTTTTAATTGCTATCTTATAAGTATCTCAATTTACGCGTCTTAAATGAGCTTCAGATCCACCAATGGACTTATGGTACCGATGTTTCACATTATTCATATTCGACTGAAACAGGATTGGTTCCCAATCGTATCTATTATATCTTTTGCCTAATATTTACAAACAAAGAAATAAAAAAGATGTCCTAGGATAATGGGAATGGGCGCAGCCACTGATATAAGTAATTTGATGTATACCTGGAAGCAACGATTAACTATTGCTAACGAAAAAACGGTTTTGATGAGAGTTCAGTTGATATTGTTGCTTTGTCAACAATATATATGCCATATTATAGTAAAATAATTAAATAGGCAATATATATTTTCTTTAAAAATATTTGTTCAATATTTTTGAATAAAAAATTAAATAAAAATTTGTATATATTTTTTCCTATTTTCCCGTTTTCCCTACGGTTTTCCTAGGGTTTTCCCCGGATTTTCCATTTATTGGAAAAATAATGATAAAATCAAAAAATTACCTCCTTAAAATATCTCCCTAGTCCGATTTTATTTCAGAAAAGTGCTTGAAAAATTGGGGCAAAATTGTTGGTAGAAAAGTTATCTACAGAAAAAAATAAAAATAAACAGCATTATAAAACCATAAGCTTCTTCACTCCACTTAAAATCTAAAATTGTTTACTTTTTGAAGTTTGTTGTTGAAAAGTTAATTCAGTTTTAGTTTGAGTTTAAGCGATTATAATTTTAAAAAGACGGACATACTTCGCACGGTGGGTGGGCCACTGTAGTAGGTGAAAAGTTTGGAAGGTAGAGAAGAAATTTAATGTATATCTGTACGTAAAGATTAACCATCACTAACGAAAAATAATTCTGAGTAGAGTTCGGTTTATAGTAATGCTTTCAAACTTAGATATTAAAATTCTTATAAAAAAAAAATTTACTCTCAATTTTTTTACCTACCATAAAGTACGACTTATAATAAACCTGTTAAATTGTCTAGTATTTTTGTTTGATCCGACAATTTTATACACAGAGTACCTATCGAACAAAAATTACGTAAAAAAATCCCATAAAATTAAAATGTCTATGAATAGCTCAAATATTACTGCAGTTTGAAAATTTGACCACGTCTAGAAAAGGCAAATATTAGTTTTCTGTCTAATCTTTAAGTTTCTACAAATATTTTTAACTGATTCAAAACAAAATCAAATAAAAAACAAAAAATTCAAAATTGCTTCATCATTTTACCAAATCATTGCAAACAAAAAACGATTCTGAGCAGAGTTCTGTTATACATGTTTTGAAAGGCTGTAAAATTTTTGATTTTAAAATAATATATTTCGTGAATTTTCCCGTTTTTCTCGTTTAAAATCAAAAAATGACCTTCAAATACCGCCTCACTAAAATTTCCTTTCAGAAAAAGTTCTGTGTTTAAAAATCGAATTAAAATGTCTATTAGGGAAGTTGTAAAACCAATATATTCCTCACTCCGCTCAGAATTTAAAATATTTTATAATATTATAGCTATTTTATGTTATAATAATATTATTATTGTTTTATTTAACGAGTTATTGAACTATAGTCGTTTTTCTAGACTTTGGATAATATAAATTAAATACACATTTTTTTCTTATTAAAATAAATATATATCTACTCATATATATATATATATATTGAACACTTTTATTGAAAAAAAAAGGAATTATAATTATTTAAAAAAATTGTATTCATCTATTAAAACTAAGAAAATATAAGACGGAACTGTGAACCTTAAAGAAAAATGTTTTATTTAATATAGAAATAATATAATAGAGATAAATCTATACTTTTTGCTTACTTCTCACTTAATGTTCTCGATAAAAGCAATAAAAGAACCATACCACATATTGCAGTATAGGTAGGCACTCAGTTTGTGAATACATATCTTAAGTAAATGTAAATGTGTTCCTTTCGAGGTTTGTTGACATTACTAGGCCCTGGGGTAAATATTATTTTTCATTAGTGTTTCGCTTTTATTTCACTTTTTGAATAAAACATTACATAGAAATACTTTTAAGCAGGAAGTATAATATAATAACTAATAAATAATTATATTTATCGTTAGAAATATTTTAATGAAGACAGTTTAAGATAGTTAATGGTTATAGACGACAGATTAACATTTTTATAATATCACATGGGATCAGACAGAACAAATAAATTTATTTAATACGTGATTTGCTAAAATTGTCCATTTTTTTTTAGCTATGGTTAAAAACAGAATTATATCCACTGGAGATGACACAACTAAGAAAAGAATTATTTTTTTTTTCATTCATCTCACGACTCCCTTTTATACCGTCGGGTACGATTTATTACTTTATTAGTAATATTTTAATATACCTATTAATTTATCAAGAACGAAATTTAATTATTATATTGGTACGATTTATTTTATTAGAATACCTATAGATTCTAGATTCTAAATTGAGATTTTTTCTTTTTCCTAAGTATTTATGAATTTATGTATAGTTTTACTTTTAACATTAAGTAGTATTTTCTTTTTATCTCTTTTGGAAATAATTTTTCGGAGAGTAGTAAGATTATTCAGAAATAATACTTATTAGGATCTACTTTTTAAAATGTAGATAATCTAGAACGAAAAGCAGGTGCCTTTTAAAGAGGAATTTTTATTTTGAAATTTTCCGTTTGAAAACTTGATATGTTCAAATGTTAAAATGTTAATTCTGTTAAAGAATTTTCTTTTGCAAAAATGTATTGTTTCGTTCAATATATTTAAAATAAAATACTATTAGATAATTCTGCAGTATCCGAATTTTTATTATTTTTATATTTTATTTTAATGCAGTGTGATATTTTAACGTGTATCTATACCTATACTACCTAGGTACATTAAGGATTTGACGAAGTAGAGTAATCGGATAAGTATTACCCCAGATGGATAGCAGTAGACGAATAGAGTGGTAAGTGAACTACTAAAAGCGTCTGATTAGGCATCTCGGTCCGCTAAATGCAACATTAATTAGAGTATGAATTGAACATCGAACGAGTACCCATATAGTACAGAATGTCATTTAGTATTTTAACCAGTAAAACCTTAATTGCATTATTCTGTTCTCAAAAGTAATGTAAAATAATAAACTTAAAAACCGTACAATTAGACGATAAATCCATCCGAATTCACCACGCGTGTTTGTTGAAGAGTAGTCCTATTAGGTACCTAACAAATTGTTTCACAAGCTTATGTTCTTTGTTGTCTACAATAATGATAATACAAAACTGCTTTACTGGGTTTTTGAGTTATTTTGAAGAGATTTATAATGGGTTTTGAATTATTTAACGCAACAAAGTCAACTTATCTATTTTATACGATCAAAATCGAATAAATTAATAAAAATCTTAGAACTATTTGAACTGTGAATTAGATATGCACCAAAAAATCTTAAAAACCATTTTTAAAATCCCTTCAAAAAAACTCAAAATGAATTTAAAATTTAAAAAAAATACTGAATATCTATCTTATGGAAGCATAACAGTTTACACAGTCAATATTCATACCTGTGTAAAATAATTGAATGAAGGACATTTTTAATGAAGCGCCTACCAAAGAATGCATGAAAACTGTATGTACCTACCTAATTATTAAAATTAACTGAAAAAAAAAAAAAATGTATTTGCTAAAAACTAACAGTCCTACTTTGGCATTTGCATCATACGACTGATTTTTCAGTTTACATAAATATTACTGTATTAATGTTTATTATAAACATATTATCCTAAACTCGAAGTTGATTCAGAGTTTATAAATCGAAACGGTCATGGTGATGGTCAGTGGAATTTACGTACGTTTCCGGATCAATCAGTTGAATGTGGATATTTCACAGTAAAAATAAACCTTTTTCATTTGGTGTTTTGAAAGCACCGCTATAGACCACAATCCCTACGGGGGTCTTTTATACCGATAAAAAGAAAAAAAAAAAATCAAGTATAATCTTTAAAGGCAATCTACATAAATCGAAATCTAATGCTGCTGCCGTCAGTTGTTGCATCGCTGTCGTCATAAATAATATAGGTATCTACATTCAGCATTTATAACGAGACACTTCTTTGAGCACATCATCTTGTTTTTGAATTTCCTTTTAAATTCCAAGAACTATAAATATGAGAACTTTGTATCAAAACCAGCAAACTAGGTTAGGTTAATTATAATACTTTCCCGAGTTTGTCTGCGTCAAATATGCATATAGTGTATACAGACATTTTAACTATCATAAGCTTCCGGCTACCCCAGTGTTCGAATCGGAAAAACAAAAAAAAATTACTATACGACTTAAAACAAACTAGCGTCCTTTAAAACCTTGACCTTAATCAACCCATGGGATGTTTTAGTCTCCACATCTCCTACACCAATTTTTAAACATAATTCAGTAATTAATAATTTCTAAAAAAAAACATTACTAATAATACTCCTGCAGGCTAACTTTTTGCCTATGTAACAGATATTATTTATTTTTGATTCAACTGAGATTCTACTACGGTATGTTTTATGATGATGGTTATGGTTTCTAGTAAACATTTTCGTCTTTCGGTGTAATGAGGAGGTATTTTTTTTGTTTTCTTTGTAGTGTTTTAAGTCATAGGGAAAAGCATAGAAAAAACGTTGAGAAAACTTTTAACTGTTATATTTACACAGTAATGGTTTCTGTTATATTCTATTTAGTTTATTCAGCGAAGAATAATTGTAGAGGCCGGACATTTTTTTTACTTTCATACCTTTGTAAGTATAGTCTTTTATATATAGCTCTTTCCAGGCATGGTGCAATTTTCAAAATATTCTGGCAATTTTTCAAGTATTTATAGCCATTTAAAATATTCAAATTAAGCGTTATGCAGTAATTTTGTTTTAATAAGTGCTTAATGTTCAAATTTGAATGAAAATGCATTTTAATAAAAAAAAAAAAGCGAAATATTTACGTCCCATCGGTAGTAAATTCAAAGGTTGTCTAGGGGTGTTAATCGCTCTGTCATCTCCCCCTTGTATTCACTCATACTCCCGTGCGTTTTACTTCAAACAAATTGTAGAGTTACGAAAACATTTCTGAAAATTAGTTGAGGTACTCCATCCCCCTGCGTCTCCCCAATTCAAGCACTGGGCTACTCTATCCTTTTAGCTATAATATTTTTAAAAATTTAGTATAGATATATTAACATAATGTTGTTAAATTACAAAAGTTCCTGAAATTTAAAAATTATTTTACTAATAAAACTTGAATTCCTTAGGACATAAGTTCACAACGCTTTAACTACGTTTACATTGATCGTAAATATTTTGGCGTATTTTTGAAAATTTCTTATCTACTTAGATTTAGATACCGATGAATTTAAAGAAAAAAATCTATTTGGTATGTAAGTAAAAATTATATCTGGGTTAATATTTTTTTTGATCCTTCTGTAAGTCTTGAAAAATTATGTTTTATTAGGAAACAATAATATAGTGGTTTAATGTAACCTAATTTTCGGCTTTATAAATTACACATTTCGTAATTTTTTTGTTTGAACTCACAAATGTTTTTATTTTTATGGGACTATTTTAAAAATATTTTCAGAGCATAGCGACATTGTTCATAGATATATGTGATATTTTTAGATCGATAGATCGATATATATTGGAATATATATCTGCGGTAGAGAAATAAAACGTGGGTATACGAACCACGGGGACCCATTAATTTATTGAATGCCAATTTCTTTTGGGAACGTAATCAAACTCGTTCGATGCACGAAAAGTAGTATAAATGGAAAATCCAACGTTTTCCATCACGTTAAATGATACTATTATATCGTCCTATTGGATTATTGATAGGGTTATTTGGGACTATATAGGGTGTACCTACGCGTTACCTCTCTCGAAATATATAATGGATTTTATAACATGAAGTATTTGTTTAAAGGGTAATAAAAATGTCGATTTTGTTTTAAATTAACTATTACACGGCGTATCATTATAAGGTTAGGTACTTTTAAATGTATTAAATCCTTAATTCATATGGAAAACAATCTTAATATAAGAGGTTATCTTAGCTATAAGACTAATTATTTCAAATCTTTTTCAGAATTTTTGTAATATGAAAAATAATCTAAACAACACTTATGTAAATATTTTATGTTGTAACATCAGAAGTGTTAACTCAAATTTTGATGAATTGATTTTATTCTTAGAAAATGAGATAGATAGTAAAAAATTAGACATGATTGTGTTTACTGAAACCTGGTATGATGCATTTATCTATACATTATAATTAAAATATTGATGGTTATAATTTATTTTATTCGTCCATAAATAGGAATCAAAATGATGGAATTTTTATTTTTGTTAACGATTTTTTTAATGTTGAATTTTTTGAATATGGTTTTGTTGAAACTAATTTTGTCAAACTTTCCTTGATGAATCTCTGTATACCAATTAATAGTCTATGTGTTTATAGATCACCCTCGACTGACATAAGCAACTTTATAAGTACATTAAGAAAAATTCTGGATAAATATAAATACAAAGGTGGTTATACAATACTCATTGGGGATTTGAATATTAACATATTAGGCAATAATTCAAATAATAATGAATATCTGGATATATTATCAGAAACTTGTTTTGCTTCTTTTATTAACATTAACACTAGTTTGCCCATAATTCATAATCACTCTTGTATTGACCATATTTTTTTTAAAAGTAATGACCACCTAATTAGTACAGTAAATGCTGGTGTGCTGCAGACTGATATCACTGACTATTTTTCAACCTGTTATTCTATACCTATTAATAATATTTACAAAACTAAAGAAAATATTTTTCCAGTAATTGATCATGACAAAATTAATAGGATTTTGTGTGAAGAAAAAGATGTGATGTGATGCATTTCAAAAAATTATAAATAATGCAATTGAGAAATCTACTTCTTATAAAGTATTAACTTCCAAAAAAAAGCGTTTAAAAGAGTGGATGTCAGCTGGCTTATTACATTCCACACGTCATAAGCAAGTTTAAAAACGTTTGAACGGTTTATACGTTAATTTTTTTTCTCAGTTTTTCCTAACTAATATGAATACCCCTTTAAAAATGATCTTTTTCCAAAAAAATTAATATACCGTTATGTTACATACAAAGTTTGGAATTGGACATTTTAAAATATGTACAATGATCATCGTGAGTTATTCTTATGACCACAAAAATATCGAAAATCTGAGCAGCTACAATATTTTAAATGTTTATAAAGTTTACATTTTTATGAAAATCGTAAAATAACTGCTTTTCACATGCCTACTGAATTCCGATTTATGTAAATAACACTTTTTTTCCTACAAAAAAATTCTCAAAAATTTAAATGAACATTAATTGATAATTGTAATTTATTTTTACAAATTAATACAATTTGCAATACTTTTTATTATTTTAAACTAAACTCCACAGAAATAATTAACCGCACAATAATATGGTATGATTTTCTGAAAAATAGTTTGAAATCGTCCAAAAAAATAAAGTCGCAAAAATAAACCTCAAATTTTCAAAGGTTACATGTTATTTTATATGGGTATAAAAACGTTGTTTTTAAATAAAATAGACTTGTTCAGATCATAAAGGAAAATGCGAAAATAGAAACGGTCAATGAGTAAATAAGAATTTTGTAGGTATATTAAGTTACAATGGAACACATTGTTCAGTTAAGTATTATTAATATAATAATAATATTAGAAAAATTAAAATAAAATATAGTAAATTTACATCTATATTATGCATTTATACTTAACAGTACTATACTATAGTATGAACTTCTGCAATTTTTACTGGATATTCAAGGCCTTATAATTAATAATAATTATGAACAATTTTGAACTCTTGAATATTATACATATATGTCATAATTTGACTGTTATAAATGGACAACCAGCCAAGGGACTCATTTATATAGAAACATATGTAAAATGAAACTATATTATAGAACTTTTAAAGTACTTGGTTTTGTTAAAGTATATGACGCATATAATATCTTTTTAAGCCATCTATCCAAACTATATGTAATCAGAAACGCAGTATGTAATACTTTTGAACAAACAAGTTTATAACATAGTATATCGTATATGATGTAAGTTGTTGCAAAATAC